ACCAAGCTATAATCAAATGTTTGTTGAGATTAAAAGGAAGACATAATAGAAATGTAGAAGATGACATTTTGATATTTTTAACTGTAAATAAATTACCACCTTACGAATATGTTAAACAGTTTCTTAAAATCAGTAAGAAAAAATATGTAATGATTTCTGATATATTATTGATGTTGTGTCATAGTCAAAAGAAAGGAGATGATATTAAAGAATATATCAAATATTATATTGAAATTTATAAAAAGTTTAATGTTAAAAATACAGTGAGAGATATTAATATTATTTTTAAAATGATGTATGACATAAGTGAGATTTGTCAATTAAATTATTATCCTGAACTTAAATGATAAATTAACCCATAAACCTTACAATAAAAAACATTGTAAGATTTATGTTTTGAAATTATGGGGATTTTGGGATTTGGGATTTTGGGAATTTAGTTTCAAGGAATATTGATTATAGGAATTTCTTAAAATGTATTTAAAGGTTTAAGGACATTGTATTATAAGAACTATGGAAGGAAACATTTGTGTTTTAATTAAAGGTAAAATGTATGAAGGAATTTTGGAAAACGGTTCATTCAAAACTGATAATGGAAAATTATGTAGAAACTGTGGTAGAATGAAACTATTTGACGAATTTAATAAAGAGAATAAACAATGCAGGCAATGTTCAGAAAACAAAAGGAATAACCGAATTAAACATAAAGATAGATACAATGAGGAGCAAAGAAAAAGATATGAAGAAGATGATGAATATAGAAATAAAACACTTGAAAGTAATAGAAAATGGAACAGTATAAAAATTCAGTGTGTTATTTGTGACTGTTATTTTTCTCAATGTTTAAAAAAGCAACATCTTAAAACAAATAAGCATAAAAGAAATTTAGAAATGAAACAGGCAGAAGAAAATTAACATTATTTTTATTAATAGATATTTTACATAAAATTGTATAAGGTTAATATGTAGAATAGCTTCTTAACCTTATATAATATTTCAATGAAGTAAAATTATTTTTCAAGTACCTAGATAAGGTTAATGAATATGAATAATGTATTAACCTTATTTAATATTTGAATTATAAACCTATATTCTATATTTTGCTAAGTTGTTATGAAATTTATTTTACTTCATTCAAAATATGTTTTGCTATTTTTTTGGGGGGGGGGGAGAAAAACCCGGGGCAGCTGCGGTTTGGCTGCTTTAGAAGGAAGAGCCAAACATGTGGGTCCTGTCGTTTTTTAGGGGACCCGGGTTGTTTGCCTTTTTTTTTAAAACCACCAGACAAGGGTACAGCAAAAAAAAAGCAACGCCAGACCCATGCAGCGCAGGTGAGCGCCCAGCGGTTGAGCCTTGTGAAGGACCTGGAGCATTACAACCACGAGGCCTTCCATCGCTGTTCGCCAAGCCGTTTGGTCGGGTCTGGGGAAAAGGTGGTTCTTCGCAGCCACTTCTATAAACTTCTATTAAAAACCTCCCCCTTACAGTGAAGCCAGCAATGCGGGGTCGGGGAAACCCGATTTTCGATGATACCCAAGATCCGCCACCAGCTTTAGGGGAAGAACTAGTCATGGAAAAGAACGTACTTCCATTTGTATCGCAGAGAGCAATTCCTGCAGCCCTTTGCCCATGTGTAGAGGAGTCTTCCTTGTTGGGGTCCCCTTTTTCGCGTTTTATATGTGAGTCTGGGGAGCAGCTTCTCCTTTTGGCTAGGTGGCGAAGAGCGGGGAGCATGCTGCGCTCACCTTCGAGGAGGCCCTGTGGGGCGCTATGATGGTCAGGAGAGGGGGTCGATGGTCCGGGGGTGAGCTGGGCTCTTGGGGGGACGTTGACGCCGTTGGGTGAGGTGGTGGGGTGGTGGGGTGGTGTCGGAGTTGGTTTGGGAATTGGGAGAGAGGTCGGCCTTCGGCCTGAGCTCAAAGCCCCGCAACCAAGGATCAAGTAGCACACGTGCAGTGTGACAACCAATGAGCCAAGGGAATCCAAACCATTCCCACTTGCCACAGGATATCGCCGTGAGCCCAGGGAATCCCCCCCATTTTCAGTCTTTCTTTTTTGGCATGCATTTGCTCAAGAATATTTTCTATTTTCCCTTGCTGTTTTTTAAGGGAATCTATCACTACTGGACATATTTTCCTTTTTTGCCGAGGGCTGAAGCAATGGATTTGATGGGGTCGTTGCCCGCTCGACTCGAGGACGCGGGGCTTCAGCTGCGGGGAGGACGTCAGCGTGGTGGCGCCGGCCGGGCCGGGGGGTGGGGGCGGGGGGGCGGGGGCCTGTGGCTTTGCCGACTTCTTTCTTTGAGGTCGGGTTGAAGGGAGACCCAAAAAGGAAGACCTGGATCTATGGGGGCACCCCTTCTTTTTTTTGTTTTACACACGCCCTGTTCAGGAGTCCTTCTCTTGGAGGGTTGAAGGAACAATTGCAGGTGTCAGGGATTCAGACCACACGGATGAAAGGCTCACACTTTCTCTCATGACTGATGGTGTCAATTGTTCCAGCTTTGCTCTACGGATGCGGCAATTTATATGGTGGGACGCTTTGACATCGTCCAGGACCCACAAGTTTGGGCTTTTTCACGGAGCGGTCAGGTGGCCGACCTGGTGAACCACAGCCACCAGCCCAATGCCAGGCGGGTGGGCAGGTGTCTGAACTTCTTTGCGGTTGGGTGAACTATCGCATCAAGTGTATGGTCAAGTTGGGAGGGGCATGCAAAGACTCAAAAGACATTCCGCAAGACCTAAGAAGAGAGATGCCTCTCGAATCTTCCCACGTCCAGTAGTGTAGGCCGCATGTTTGACCGGATCTTTATGACCGTGGGAGCATCTGTCCGGGTGAGCGGCTTTTCTACACCATGAAGGCCCCCACAGCCGGTCCCACTAGGTGGACCTGCGACTCCGGCAAGAACGCCAAGCAGCTCGGCTCGGGGGGTTGTGGGGTGGGTGGTGGGTTTCAATCGCTACATTGATGGGGGCGCACACAAGGACGTTTCCGAGCACCTGCCATATGATGTCTCTTGGACGCTTCTACGGGTCCAAAGTCGGCTCATATTCTCGCATCCATTGCATCGTTTTTGTGGACAGAGTCTAATTTAGATGCATATACCCATCCCCTATAATTAAAGTGCTAAAGAATTGTGCGAAGGTTCCTATGACCAAGCCGTTTGGTTTAACATTTTGACCCTATGCTGCTTGTTAAGACCGCCCCTCTCTTTCCAACATGGAGGTGGACAGGGGGCCGTAGTTTGTGGCAGCTTTGATTCTTGGAAAGAGGGGAAGCATAATAACCGTTATGTTCGTCTTTTTCCGTGTCACCAATTTTTAGTTGTTTTATAACACATCCATATTTAAATAAATACTCAATTGTTTGTTTGTTTATATGTATAACCAATTTTTGGTCTTTATAAAGCACCCATTATATATATATATATATACACACTTGTCTAACAGTTTTCATGAGTTGCTATTGCCCACTCGAGAAGAGAGAAGCCCAGGCTGTCGCTCATCGCCAAGGAGGACATCAAGCCAGGCCTTGGGTTGGCAAGACGCCGGCTTTTTTGGCCGTAGACCAAACGAATGAGGTGGAGGTTTATAAAACAGGTTTGGGGCTTGGACAACAAGTTTGGCCCCCCTTGTGATTTAAGTGCTGTAATGAGACTTCAGACTAACATCTTTTTGCATCTAGTGCCAGAGATGTGACTTCGCCACGATGATGATTCCTTCAACCGGCAGCCTCTTATTATTTGCGGTTGGTGAAATATGTTTATATCACCCAGCAAACATGTTCGAAAGACAGGGCCCCTCATTGAAACGCAACGCTTTTGCCCATCCGGCGAGGGCGGCTGGGGGAATGGCTGACCTCCGAGCTTGGAAGCTATGAGTGAAAGGGATGGGTGGCCAATTTGGGTGCTGATTGCCTAGATGTGGCAGGTGCAAAAGCAGACTGCGGCAAACGGTCAACTCACCAGTGGGGTGTCTCCAGATGGGGCAACCTGCAAAACAGATGGCTTCTCTTCGGTTACCCTTGAGGAAAACGTCAAAAAGGGTACCAAGTCCAAGAAAGACGCGGCCACATCGGGGCAGTTCTATACTCTCCCCCCGGGGAAAAGTGGGAGGGCTTTGACCTTCCCACTTTACTTCTTGACTTTCCCAGGTCTCGTTCCCATGTAGTTCTCCCGTTCTCTCAATTCTGTATTTGGCTATCCACCCATGGAGGATATGGGGCCGATTTGGTTGGCAACTTATCACTTGGTTCTCCCATTCTCTGGTTTTTTGGACTTGGCTCTCAACCCATGGGCTATCCCCAACCTATGGGACCCATGGGGAGCCGACGGGGGATTCAGGCGAAGAGCTGCTGATCAACTACAAGGCGCAGAGCAACCCGGGCGCTGAGGTCTACTTCAAGGCGAGGCAACTTCGGGACTCCCCCCGAAGAGGGACGCCGTCCTTTGCTGGAATCTATCTTCGACCTTGGGCTTTCGGGGACTCCCCGAAAAGGCTTCCTCTTCTTGAAAGGGTTGGATCTTCTTTTTAACCTGAAAGGCTTATTGGGAATGAGCTTCCCCAGCCAGAAGCTGGGTTTCTGGGGGCGCTCGTCACCAGGTTTGGTTTCGCTTTAAAGGACTCTCCGCAAGAGGGACCATGAAACTCCTGCGCGCCCGCGGTCGCCAGCGGTTGAGACGCAGTTGTCCTCCTGTCGATGGAACCCACCAAAGGGGCCGCTTTTACGGAGACTTGTCTTTCAGGACCCTCCAGTCAGCGAGGCTAGACCAAACTCAGTCTGGCGGGGATTGTGTTTTCATGGCCAAATGTTAGCGGCAGCGGAAGAGATACATACCCTCAACCAGATAATCAGCTTTTCATTCTTTCAACAGTCCGACTTCGGGATTTGCCCGAACTTCAAAGGCCCACAGATGTCAAGCTGATAGTATAGAAAGTTGTGAGCTGCGACTCTGCGAACCATCTCTAGCTCTTTAGCTCCCCGAAATCGAGCCGCTTCAGATCTACGGCTTCACCGATGGCGCCAAGCCCGAGGCTGGGCGATCCATGGGCCGATGGGCCGAAGCGGCCGACTTGCGGCCGAAGCGAGGGCAGCCGCTTTTTGTGCCAGATCCGAGCATGTCGGTGAGACTTTCGATTCGGCTGGGTGGGCCGAATCGTGGCCACGTTTCGGTCAACGTCTGACTGACTGTGCCGTGAGCGCGAGGCCTGGACTTCCTCGGAGTGCGGCAAGCTGCAGGCGGCGCAGCTGGGGGGCGCACCGGTGCTGGACCGAGCCAAGGCTCTGGTGGTGCCTTGGACCTGGTTTGGGGGGTGGGTTTGAGGGGAGGGTGTGAGGCGTTGGGAGGTTGGGGCTATGGTTTGGGGTTTGGGGGTTGGAGGTTGGGGGCGGCGGGGCATGTTTTTTCTGAGGGTCTGCGCCCAAGCGAGCTTTTGGCTAGCTCGGAGCCGGGCGGGCGGCGTGGTTCAAATGGCCATGCTGAATAAACAGGAGTATGATGTGTTCGCCGCTTGGGCTCCTGTGAGCGGGGACCAGGCCAGCAACATGTGGGACTTAACATTTGGGCTTCCAACTGTGCTGCCCGACCAGAGAGTTGACGTCAGCCGAGACAACCGAGCATGTCATTCCCAGCCGGCATCAAACATGAGACTCGCCGCTCCGGAAGACGCCTGAGCCGAGGCCGAGAAGTGCAAACTGCAGACCCTGGAGGCTTCCATGGTGGCCTGGCGGCTTTTGGTGTGGTGACCCGTTTTGAGCACTCTAAAGAGGACGACAACGGCTTGTGAACCATGGGGGTTCCCACCGGAAACACACATAGCTAGCGCAAGTTCTGTGGCCACAGCTCGGTGTGGCCACAAGTCGCTTGAAATGGCGGCTTCAATGGTTCAGCCTGTGCGGGCCAGGGCTCCTTTCCTGTGTGCGATCCAAAGCACGTTGCCAGATTTAAATCCCCCGGTTCGTGGGTTTCCTTTGCTTTAATACACGATCCCTTGAACCGATTCCAGCTCTTTCTCGAAAGGGTTGTCCCGAGTTCCGACACGTACGAAGCTGTGTGGAATGTTGCGGTCACCCTTTCGTTGCGAGGGAAGCAGAGGTGAACTGGATCCCCAACAGAGTTGGGGCAACCTCTGTGATTCTTTTCCCACTTCTGTGGTAGGGAACCTCCCTGAAAGAAATGGTCATTGAGAAGGCCTTTCAGTGGACAGAAGTAGCCGCACTGCCCACCGGCCGAGTGCGAGGCCGGGTTGGCGCCCTTTTCCGTGTTGGCTGTGACACCGGCGTCGGAGCGAAGGAGGCGGGGGCAGAGGAGAAATGCCTTTGGGCAAATCACAAAGCTGGGGCTTGCGGAAAACGCATCATGCTTGACGTCTAAATTCCCGGGAGCCATGGTCTCTGGTGTGTATATAACAAGCTCCCCGTGGTAGCAAATTGCGCCCTTGTTCTTTGTGAAGTCGGGGAGTCAGGGGTGACTTTTTTTCTGGTTTGTGGATGTGAAAAGCATGTTGCAACTGTGAACCGTGTTCTTGTCGAGGGTACATGGGACACCACTCCCTAACCTCCAATCCACGAAAATCCAAACCACCAACTAGGGGTAGGGTGACTTGTTACAGGGTCCCGGAGCCCAGTTGAAAGCAGCCCGCTTTGTATGTCGCGCCTTCCTGCCAGGGGCTCGTTTCTATGACCCGCGCGCCTTCAACCGGACGGAGTTGCCAGCCGCCTGGTTGAACGGCAGGGTTGTCCTGCAAATGGAAGTCGTTTTTGGCAGGTTCAAAGGGAAGCCTGGAAGGCGAACATGACAAGCCCTGAAATGGATTCCAAAAGATATGTGAATCCGAAGGCATGCCAAACTTGCCTCAAAGGTGGCAAAAGGCAAACCTAGCTGTGTTCAAAGCCACCGAGAACTTCTTTTGAGGCATTCAGAACCCTTACAGAAGCAACCGTCAACACGGATACCTTTCCCCTCACGCCCACATGCGTAGCCCCGGACATGGCTTTGAGGTGCTAAACATGGGATTCCGAAGCCATGAAGCAATTTAGGAGTGTGTGCGTGCGCACGTGTGTCTGTGTGTATGTGTGCGAATACCAAGGCAAATGGCTTCGTCTGAAGTTTGCGGGCCTTCTGGATGTTTGCTTTTTGCACCAATCAAAAGGGGCGGCCATGAAGCAATTAGTTGTTTGAGTTTGCTAGGAACAGGCGCTGACTTCCATTCGGAGCCTGTCAGCCATAGCACTGCAAAGGGGGATGGGCCATGCTTTTTGCATGTGTTGTGGCTGCGTGGTTGCTGCGACAGAGCACTTTGCTTTCTGCATGAAGCCGCCTATGCAAGCCTAGGTGCGTGGATCAATCAACCAATCTGGATGCAAGATGAGGGTGCGGCCAGAGACGGTTGATTTTGAAGCAGACATGTGTAGTCCTCGGCACGTGTTCATTCCATCCAGCTTTGTACACAGGCTGTACTCTTGAATGTGGTCATGTGCTTTTGCCATCTAGTTGGATCAGACAACTCTGAAAGACGTGGCTGCGCCCCGAATCCATCTTCCTGACATGCTCCGGGAGTGTTGATTGGGATTCGAGCAATCAAACTGATTCCAGATTGCTCTAGAGCAGCAGGGCTTCTGCATCGAGTTCTGAACCAGGGCATGTCCGGGCCAGAAAACATGTGTTCCACCTTTGGGCTTCTCGCAGTCACAGGTTGCAGACATAAATCCCATGTTCAGAGTTTCCAGTTGCTGGCACTGGCATCAGGCGCCCACACAGACTGGCAAGAAGCTGTTTATTGCTGCATCAACATGCGACAGTGCACAAGCTGGAATTCTTTGCATAGCAAGGTTTGTGTCCACCACGTTGCACCCTTTCAACGTTGAGCAGACATCCTGAGGGGCTTTGCCCAGGGATGACTGCCGGCAAAAAATGAGGGCCTAGTGGTCGTTTCGGGTCTGCCTCGCCAGTCAATGGTTCCTGGAGCATGTTGCGGGCGAGTTAACGCCGTGCATGAAACGGCAGTTGCCCAAGAACGGTCCGTGATCCATGTGCCCCACTTGGCAACCTGTCAGGTTCTGTCAATTTTATGTCCATTGAGCACGTGGGGGTACAAACTCAATTTCCCAGGGGACTCACCCATTTGGCTTGTGTCAAGATTAGGTCCCGTGTAAACGCCAAATGGCTTGTAGACACTGCAAGTCCTGTTTTCAAGAGGGCTTGCTTCCCTTCGCAAGTGATGCAGACGCAGGCAAGTAATTCACCACACCGTGTCGTGGCAGTTCATTGCTGGGGAGAGCCAAACCTCACGAGATGTCCTTTTGATTGCAGCAACAAGCATCCTCCTGATGTCTTGAAAGGCCCTCTTGTCCGGACAAGTTTCACATGGATCGCAGCTGGCTTTGGAATACTTGGCAATGCTTCCTTTCATGCTTCAAGGGCCCCGCTTCCGGGGCCCCAGAAAGTCTGGCGGCTAGAACTGCGCGCCTGCGCGCGAAGCGTGCTGGCTGAGGGCACCCGTAACGTCACAGCTCTAAGCCAATGATACCCACCAAGAATGTACTGTATCCCCTTTTGTTGGCTAGCTACTCACCCAACAATGCGCTTGGTGGTGTGGGGTCTTTTTTCTTCTAGTGGATACCTGACTGGATGCTCCATGCCGTTGGAATCAGGATGCTTCAGGCTCCTTTCCGAGGCAAACGTTTTCGTTGCGGAAGGGTACAATACAGGGAGCCCACAGGTGGAAGGCTTAACTCACGGAAAGGATACTTGTTGACCTTTGTTGAATTGGGCAAACATCGCATGGCCTGGGACTGTGAATCTGAATGAAGAAACTTTTTTTTTTTGAAAAATAAAATAACTATTGCCCAACGGCTTTGAACTGTTGCAAGGGAGTCAGCAGTCGAGAAAAGCACACATGCACAGGATTGCCGTGATGATTGCTATACCAACCCCCAAGAATAGACATTCGACTTGGTTTGTTTTCTTGGCCTTTTGCCGAAGTCCATTTTCTTCCAATGTTACTGAACGTCTCCTGCACCGTAAGAAGAGAGAGAGAGAGAGAGAGAGAGAGCTACTTTCTGCGCGTAACCTGCTCAAAGTTTTGTAACCAGAGTCCTTTGAGTTGTAACCAGGGTTACGCACGTTGCTCAGCAGTCTGGCCCTTGTTGTTGCCAGCTGAAGCTTCCGTAAGCGCCGACTCTAGTTTGAGCTGGTTGCTGAGATCAGCGTCATGCGCTTGCTTCCGGGCTCCGTGCATGAGTGGCAGACTTGCATCTTTGCTTCCAAAACGCCAACAAGTGAGGAACCAAACCCTTCGCTAGTCAACACAACAGCATCGTTGGATACTTGCCATGCACGTAAAAGCAGCAGTGGTGCTCCATCCCACAACATCAACTGTCACATCGCGGAGCTCCGAATATCAATCTGACGGAGAAAAGCGGAGAGAGAAGGAGAGAGACGCACGAGCAGCTGCTTTGGCAATCCTATGCTTGTTGCTTTTTGAAGTGTTTCCTAGGACCGTTTCTTCATGTCGTTCTTCCATTTTTGTTGTTGCAAGGATTCAACACCGCTTGCTCCTTGACTGTTTTGGCTGGCCAATTCAGAAAGACCCAGCTGGGAGCAAGCATGCGTGTAGGTGACTGTCTTGGATTTCCTGAAAGATAGTTGGTGACCGTTCCGCGACTTTGCTAGCTGCTCGACTTGCATCGGCTGGACGTTTCTTTGAGCTGCCCTTAAAGCACCTTCGTTTGGACACCTCAGGCGCTCGGATCGATCCCAGGTGCCCGCAAGCCCTTGCGGCCGGAGGACGCCAAGCGCCGCCGCCGCATTTTTTCGGCGCGCGCGAGCGACCCCGGAGGGGGCCTGGGGAGCATGGGGCAGTGTTCCGCGGGGTTGGCCGGCCGTTTCCTTCTAGGTTTTCCTTTAGAAGATCGTTTGAGAGTAAGATAGGTTTGGGGTGAAAATTTCAGGACTGAGTCGAGTTCGCATGATTCAAGCCCGATTTGGCAGCCTCGAGAAAGCACATCGGCAAACGCCATGAGATGGGCTCATGGACACCATCCTCCGCGTGCTGTCTTCGCATGCGGATTCCTGGCAGATCAGTCCCTAGCCCCATTCCGCTTGCCTAACAACTAGACAGCTCTTGGAGTTGCGCAGGTTTCTTCATGTGAAGCGCTTTGGCAGGCGGATAGCCTTTCAATAGTTTGCTCAAAGCCTCCCGAGTCTGCTTGAGTACTGTAAGGAGATAGAAAACGGAGGATAAACCTTGTTTACATTGAGAGTCCACAATGTGCCCAGGACAAGTTGTTGGCTCAGTTTCCACGTCAAGAGTCCATGTTGCTACATTCCTCATGATTTGCCCATGCCAGCTGATGAGCTGACAATGGCCGTGTGGCCTCGTTGGCCTTGTTGCTTGGGACGTGCGGGATGACCGGGCCGCGCAACTCACATCTTTTGGTGCTCAAGCCCCCGGTGCCATGGGCTGCAGTTTTAAGATGAGTGACATGGGGGCGAAGAGGTCAGATTGCCACTCGAGGGCCAACAGTAGAAGCGAAACAGAAGGACACAGAAAATTCTAGAGAGCTACTGTGGATGGACGAAATCTTGCACCACCCAAAACACAGTGGAATGATGATTTTTTAATACCAACAATAAATGATTTCCAATGGTTTCAAAGTGGTGCAGGATTTGGTCCATCCACAGTATCAAGAGTCCCGGGCCATGTAGGTGCAACAAGGAAAGCATTTTAGCTGCCACTTTCAGAGTAGATTGGTTCCCCATCACCTGTTCCCATAAGGGGCTTGGGTCTACTTGCAGGGCAGGTCTGATGGGCATTCTACACCCTGCATTCAACTGTTGTTCCGTTGGTTTTGGGTTTGTATTTGCCTGTGCAAGAATTGTTTGCGTTCTTCTTTTCTTTTTTCCTTTGAACGGTAGCATTCATTGTTTGCCTTGGAACAGCAATCGGTGTTCGTTTCTTAGCAACTTAGCATCTCAACCGACCCAAGGGCAACTAAGATTCAGCCTGGCGCATGCCGGCCATGGAGTAGGCCGTTCATCGGACCCCGAGGCCCCGTCTTTTCGGCCGGAGGGCCGACGGCCGGCCTTCGCTGCACTGGGGTTTCTTTGCTTGGCAAGGATGCAAGCTTCACGTTTGCTTATTCATATATATATATATTTAATATGGTATTTATGTATATATGTACACAGTAGGCCGCCCCGACCCCTCCTTCTCCCAGACAATTGGCTATCCGCCTCATAGAGCCAGTCAAACACATGCAGAAAGGGACACGCTTCTACTCCTGGAAGTTTTACCCTTTTTGCTAGTACTGGGGAAAAGTAAACCAGTGGAGCTTTTGGTTCCATGAAAGGTACATCTGAAAGCTGCCAAAAGTGAAAGTGCAAAGGCATTTGGCAGGTTGATGGCTCGACTTGTGGCGAGAAACGATCATTCCGATTGCTTGAAGTGTACGGATCAAGCGTACTTCGGCGTGCATCGATTCCGAGCCAAAACATGTTCGAAAGGGCGGCATGAGGGCAGGTGAGTTGGCTATGTATCGAAAGTTGTCTTACCCCTTTCTTGGGGAAAACAAGATGCAACCGCCCTGTTGGGGGGATTTATAGTAGCTTTGACACTTAGAATTCCGGTCCAAGTGTCCCTGAGGTGACCCCCTCTTAAGAGCTTAGTTTGATCCTTGGTATCCCTGGCGGATCCGAGGCCCCCTGAAGTGCTCTCTGACCTTGCGTTTGGTCCTCGTTATTTTGGTGGATTTGAGGTGACCCTCCCTTTTGATTTGATTACATGTTTGCTGTTCTTTTGGCTCGTGGTAGCCTCAAAGGCACACCATGGGCACCGGGATTTGCTATCGCCTTGGAGACCTCTGTGATGCGTTTGGAGTCGGGGCGGAAGACCCCCAGAATGGTGGGTTGTCCTGTTGGTGGCCCGTCAGGATTTGGTATCCTTTTGGCTGCCCTTTAAAAGGCCAAGGGTAGGCTGAACAAATTACGAACTGTTGCTTTTTTGGGGGGTGGGGTGGCACGTCTCTTCTCCTCAGCCCTGAAACCAGCGGACAGGGGATGCCCTTAGTGGATGTCACCGTGGATCCCGTGAGCGCGCGCCCAAGAGGTTTCGAGGAGGGACTTCGTCTCATGATGTTTACCGCATGTCAGCATCTATACATTTGCTGGGGTCGAGTGTCCGCGCCTATCTCCAGTAATTGGCAGCACCTTCGGGAGTTCTTGAAATTGGAGTACCTTCTTTGCAACGCACACACGCACCCACACACACACACATACACACACACACACACATACACACTCGCACGCACTGCGCGTGCTACTGCAAATGATCAAATGAAGTTGCCTTTGTTGCTTGTGATGTTGACCTGCCGGGGGGAGGGGGGGGGGGGGCTGACACAATTATTTGCTTGTGAAAGTTTCAGAGGAGATGGCTGTCATGTTCTTTTTTGGTTGGGGAAGCAGTCAACAAGGCAACACGGCCTTCAGCCAAGCCCTGGTAGCTTCGGGTTGATCGTGGGCCAATTATAAGTATGGGTGTGCGTCTGTGTTGCTGTTTTTTGATGGTATACTCTTAAAACCCTTGGGTGCAAAGCTTAAAGGGAAGCCAAAAGCACAACCATTTTCTATTTTGACAGACCTGTTCGGTGGACTTTCTCTTTTCTGCCACATGAAATGCCAGTGAAATACCACCAAGCAGCAAAATCCAGCACCAGCGCAAGTTGATGATATGTTTGCGGGGGACCATCAAAGTCAATGTGCTACAACTACGTTATGTTCTGTATTGTGCATTGGCTGAAACGACAGCAACCATTGCACGAATTGCTTTCAGGTGGAAAGCAACACGCATGGTTTGTTGTCAGAGTCTTCCCAGTTGCTCAGATGAAGAGTGAGGCCAGGCTGGAAGTTCACAAGCACTCTGTGATATCAACGCAGCGTAGAGTAGATAAGCCGCTGGCTTGAGGAGAATGACCGCACATCTGGCAAGCTGGAGCATCCGCGATTCTGTTTGAGCGGGAAGTAGATACGGACGCTATCAATCATTCCCCTACCAGACGGCCCCACATGCCCCACGGCCCCACGGCCCCACGGGCCCACGGCCCGCCCCCCTCCCCTTCCACACGAAGGGTTTGGGGTGGTCGATGTAGACTTGGGCCGAGGCGTGGAGGTGGAGGTGCCAGACGAGTGCACGGTGGGGCAGTGGAAGCGCATGCTGGGCGACGGCTTCCTGGGAGACAAGATCCTGCCACTTGGCGAGATGTTGTTTTCTTCTTTGTCTCTTGGGACTCAGATCTTTTAATGGTGAGTCGTGCTTGAAAGGGACGATTACTGTTGGGTCCTCTAACTTTGAGACAAACCCAGTGATTCTGGCGCGCCATGCCCCGCACCCTAGGTTTACCCTTTCCTTCTGAATGAGGTCACTCGGAGACGTCTCCAATCAGCGGCAACCTTTTCCCCTCGTGATGGGTGGGTGCAGTTCCCCCTTAGCATGGTCAACCCCGCAAGCGGGTTTCCTGTGTCACTGGGCCCTTGGCTAGGTACAGCTCCAAGCTTCAGTGCTACTGCTTCGACAAGACTAACGTGGCTTGGGCGGAGACGCGGCGAGAAACGAACTCTGGAAGCCCCCGTCGCCCCAAAGATCCGACGAGGTGTTGCTTTGGGGAAGATCAAACAACTGGGGAGGACACGCGTTTGGCTGAATTCGAAAGACCCGGACCAAGCAACCTCTCTTGAGGGAGTCACTCGCTCAGCTTTGCAGGATGGCAACATAAGGGACTTCCCGCAGAAAGCTTTCCCGGCGGTTGGCTCGTACTGCTAGTTCAGAGTTCTTGTTTGTGGGATTCGCCATCACTTCTGTGATGCCACTGACCAATCTTCACAATGACCAAGTCGTCGTTTCAATGCGAGGTGCCGGTATCGCAGATTTGGGCGATTCCCACAACCCTTAACTTCCAGATTGACCTTTGGCTCGGAGGGTGCTAATCCACAAGACTGCACTCATGAAACCGCAGCGGTAAATGGGTTTGTCTTTTTTTCAAGGGACCCCCCCAAAAAAAAACCAACAACAACAATAATAATAATGGCGGTTTTCCGTTCGTTTCGTTTGGTTTCCGTTCAAACACATGCCAAAAGGGTACGCCTGAAAGAAAACACACGGGCACTCCGAGTGAAAGATGACAGGTACTAGCTGACGAGGAGCAGATGCCCACACTTCCCAAGCGGCGGCCTGGCTGGGAAAAAAAGGCGCCGTAGAACCTGGGCGGAGGTGTTGAAGGAGTAGCCTTTTGACGCAGGGGCTCCTTCGAACCGGAGACCAGCGGCCGTTTACCAGGAATTCGGTTCAGGATCCAAGGCCAGAGCGCCAAGGAGGTCTTTGAGCTCGATGGAGGCAGTCCACGGTTGACGATTCGTTTTTAAAGCCACTTGATGTGGTTACCAAGAGAACCTCTTTATACTGTGCAAATCCATAAAGCGAAGGTGGACGGGAGTCCCAGTTTGGTAGTGCAGAAAGGGGTATTGTTACAACTGTGAGCCGAGCCGCAGCCGGTCTTTGCGTCACATGCACCCTAGCTGAACAGACGTCCCTGGCGGGGAACAGCCGTAGTATGTATGAAGGGCTTGTTCCAGGTTTCACCCCTTCCTCCCTGGCCGAGTGGGCTTGCATCTAGGAGCAATCAACACCACATGTCTGAATATAAATGCGCACACGAACGCAGGTCGAATTTGCGACTCCGCGAACACTTGGCAACTCAAAAGGGCAAAGAGCTGTTTGGAATTAGAGAATCTCCAGGCGCCCTATGGAGACAGGCTGAGACAAGAGACCTGACGGGGTTTCCCTTCAAAACCAAAAAGAAGGGTACCTGGTTGGTTAAACACGTGCCGAGTCGCCCAGTGCCCTGGCTCCTTCCTTGGCTTTAGGATCTACATCCGCGGGCCCAACAGCGTGCTGAAGATGCTGGAGCTGGCGCTGAACAAGCAGAGCCTTGACTCCTCTGGGCCCCGACCGCGATAGACGGCGGAAGGATGCTAGTTGACGCCTAATAATCCTATGGCCATGGCCAAAATTTAGGTTGCAAGTACCCCGTTCTAGTTGGTTGGGCCCTTGTATGCACTTGAGGTCCATGGCTAGGTCGTTCGATCCCAATGGTCCATACTGCTGCAGGGACCCCAGACCTGGCATTTGTTTGAAAAGGCCACTGTTTCCCCCCTTGGTGACTCAACTGGGTGTGGCGCAAAATTGTTTTGAGCTGGGGTTACAGGTTTTGGTCTTCCGTCCAAGGGGCCCACAAATGGGTACCACTTTTTGAGCAGCCAAATGGGTATGGGTCAAAATTCAACCACCAGAGGACCGCAGGTTTAAGTCCATGGTTCCATTTACCAGGATTCCTTTTCTGCTACCTATGTTTGACCAGCCAAATGTCTAAGTTTCCTTTGGTGGTTCCTTTTCCAACATGGGCCAAGCACGCAGCGGGCCCATGCGACTCGACTGTTGCGCCCGATTCGCGAGGACCGGGAAGCGGTCCTCCCGGAAGCCGGAGCTCCGAGACCGGAAGACGGCGCAGGCGCCTGGCGGGGCCGGTGGGTTTCTGGGTCTGTGGCTTGGGGTGGTCAGGGTTCCATGCTGTAAGTGCAAGCAGGGTGCTTTGTATGTGACACTCGTGCGCACGCGCATGTGTGTGTGTGTGTAGCATCTTTGACTTTGGGGTTAAAGGGAAGCTGCCATTGCGGGGCCCCTTTACCCATACCAGAGATTCATACCAGGGCTTAAACCATGAATCAGAGGTTCAAAACCGCGGCTCATACATGGGTGCCTATGTTCCCCCTTTTAGGTTCCGCTTTCGTATTCAAAGTGAGATTCCCTTTGGTGGGGCGATCCATTGGGTGTTTGGTTGTGGAAAGTTGTTGGTTTTAGGGGGGCCACTTTCTGTGAGTGGCCAAGGAACACACTGAGTCATAAAGCAATCAGGATGAGAATCCCACTTTGGTACTACGGTACTAGTATCACCTGGACGTGAGAGACCCAGGAATTTGATCGACCCTTTTCCCAGAGGGTGTTTTTTCTCCTTCACACCGCGTTTTACACTCGGACCAAAACTAGAAATCTTCCATGAGCAACAAAGGTCAGGGGACCCCAAACCTCAAGCTGGCTTCAGCTTGCACCAGAGGGCAATCAATCGTGTGTTTTTTTTTTGCATCCGGACTTTGAAGAATCCCAAAATGGTGGGCCCTTTTGGTTGGGAATTGCAGGGAAGCCGAAAGGACACCGTTGCCGGACCGATTCCTATTTGGAGAACTGCCCATTCGGTCAGTCTTTTCTTGAGGGTACCCTTTTTTGGTGGTTTCAAGCGGACACCAAGGGAAAACCACCCCTTTTGCGGGTTCCCCTAAAAAGAGAGAGAGAGAGAGAGAAAGAGAGATAGAGAGAGAGAGAGACACTGGTTGAGAACCCCAGCAAATCACCCAAACCGGTGAGGTGGCCCCGGCGGCGCCCCCGGTGCATCCGCCGGAGCGGACCGCGGCGGCCTTCGAGCGGACCGCCGCGGCCTTCGAGCGGCCGCCGCCCACCGCGCTGTGGCCGAAGGACCCGGGGCCTTCGAGGGAAAAAGGCCGAGTCGTTGGAAGACCCGGAGATATGCAAATCCCGGGATTTCTCAACAAAAAATCCGGGGATATCTTTTAGTTGGCCTTTTTGAGCTTGCTGAGGACAGGTTCTTCATGGTCTCCAGTCTAGGTTTTGGCTTGCGACACGGAGTTGTTCCTTTGCAGGGTCTTGGCCATGACTCGATTCATCTTAACCCAGGAGTGTCGAGGGGTCTGGGGGGATGTTCCTCGGCAAAGTTCGATCTTGCAGCATCAAATGTTTGATGTTTTTGGTTGTGGTAAAACGATTGAAAGATACAGCGTGGACCAAGACAAACACGCTGACCATCCGGGAAAGGGGGGGTGCCAGAGGCTCCACCTTTCCATTGATGCGTTGTCATGCCAGCGGCGGAATGGAGTCGCCGCGCAGGACACGAACACTCACCTGCCGCCTGCCTTGGAAGTTGGGAAGTGGGTGAGGCTGGGAGGTGTCATCTTGTTGGCTTAGAGGTAACCACTTTGCCCGAGATGGGACCTGGGATGTTTGAAATCAGTCTAAGGGTAATATAGGCCAGAAGCGAAACATTATTTTTGGGGTAGATATCTAGGGTTTACATCAGCCTTTTTGATGGGTTTCAACGATTGCCAACTTGAGCATCGGCCACATTGCTGACCACTCGCTGAACTTACATCGCCTGACATCCCGCACCTGAGAAAACGCGGGAATCTTGAGGCAGAATGAGACCAGGCATCAGGCTGCCGCTGCTGAGAGAGTGCAGGCTTCTGTCTGCTGAACAAAAGGATCCGCACAAACCACGAGCTGCCAGGTTTGTGGACAGCTTTTTGGGGTTCTCAAAGTCAGAAACTGAGATTTCCTTAAACCTACCACTAGGGGCTGACCTTTGGAAACAACACAACAACAACGGGGCCCAAGGTTTGCGCCCAAGATTCGCTCAATTTGGGTCCAAGACCTGCTGTTGAGTCTGAACTCCAAACCCTGGCTCTGTGCCTGGGGTGAACGCCAGTGGTCGGGAAAAATGACTGCCCTTTGCGGGACGACACTTTGGAAAGCGGCAATGACACCCGGTGATGGCTTGGCTCTGGTTCATCTTTCCTCCAATGTGCGATCACCGAGAGCCGAGGTCCGTGTATAGCGCCGGGTATCAAGGCATGCGCCCATACATGGAGGAGCAGGGAGGGGTGGTGGAATGATGGAATGAGTTGGGTGGAAGCGCATGAGGGCTGTTGGCTACCGGTAAAGACCCAACATACTGCGAGGCCAGTGAGCCCAGCTTTCACTTGTTGGGGGCGATGCTTCTTGCGGTGTGGAAAACAAAGAAAAACCATGTTGACAACACAACCGTTTCGGCAGAGCGCTGCCAGCTCTTGCCCCCCTCGCTTTCCTGACGACCTTTCAATTGCTCAGTTTGGTGCGTCCAACATTCGAATGGCGTATTTGCTGATATGTTGTTGCTTCCCTTGAATTTCGGGCGCCTCTTTTGGTGAGAGCTTGCGTCAAGGGGTCTGAGGACATGCTCTCCAGCCTTGCGCTCTGAAGCGTTAGCGCTCTTCTGGCACTCCCAAATAAAGGAAACCGGAAGCATGAATTCATCAGACGTGCCACGACCAAAAGACCCCCTAAAAGGGGGAACCTTGGCCCACGTAAGCGGTGGGCACCACCCAGTCTCGCGCACACAGACACAGACACATTGATATGGGCATTTGGACAAGTCGCATCGCCCGTCCTGGTGGCGAGGGGAGGCACGTGTCCTTTGAAGGTCCGTTGATTGAAAGAAGATGAGTTCCAGTTACTCACTAGTTTCACTGGGTTCCAATCATGCGATCTTCCGCCATCTTTTGTCAGCTTCGTTCCAGGGCCAAATGCTTCGATTGGCGGTTCCCCCAACCCCCCCTTTCCGCGTTGGCTCGCTCTCCGTAGCGCGAGGACCGGGCCTGCGGCCTGCTGGAGCTGCCGGGCTTCCCCGCCGGCAGCTTCTTCGGGGTCTTCGACGGGCATGGGGGGCACCAGGCGACGCGGGACGCGACGCGCGAGACGCGCGGGACGCGGTTCGGCGGTTTGGGCGGGCGGTTCGGGCGGTGGGACGACGTCGGGGCTTTTTGGAGAAAGGACGTTTCTCGGACCTTGGTGGTTGTTCAACCATCGAATGGTTGAGTTCCGAGGCACCTTGTTGGAGGCAACAAAAGGGCATCCTTTGTGAGTGTCAAGGGAAATCTCCCTGGCCTGAAACTAGCGGTCCAATTCGAAAGCGAGTTCCATTGGTGGGATCATGGGTTGAAGTCGTTGCTGGATAGGGTGTTTTTCTGGATCCCAGCCTTTCTCCTACTTGGTGGTTTCTGCTGGACAATGGTCAACCCCCTAAAAAGGGGTGCAATTCTTTTTCGACCAGGGTCACTCACTGGGCAATAGGGGATCTGTGAAATTCATCTTGGAATGATTTGCGTGGGTTCAATGCGCGTGGGGTTTTGTTCGCTGTTTCGGACGTGTAATGGTAGTTCAGAAGAAGTTATCATGCATGCAGGAAGTTGCCATGTGTGGTCTTTGTTGTTGTTTTTGATTTGTCTGATCAAAGATGCGAGCTGGTTCCCACGTCATGAAGCAATACTCTTCGCACAAACGAAGCGGACAAGTTTAGTTTGAACATGCTCAACAGTGAGTGAAGCAAGCTTAACTCCTTTTCAACAAACAACACAAATCAGATGACAATTTGACAAAGCTCAATAAATCAAGTTTCCGGTATGTCGGCCTCGACTGTTCCAGCCTCGCTCCTCATCCAGTGGGGTGAACCGATGCAGTTTCTTTTGATTCCAGATTGTGTGTCTAAAATCGGGATCGTCCCTTCTGGATGAGGATGGCACACCAAAAGAACACCTGCCTCGTAAACCTGGACCGCCGCCCATATCTTGCGCTTCACATCAAGCTCACACCGGCAACTGACAAGCCGCCATGCCTTTCCTTTTTGGACCCCAAAGTCTAGATTCTCTCCAAGAGCAGAAGATCTGCAAAGCAAACACATGCAAATCATCACTCTTTGGTCTCAACATTTTCTTTGTTGCATTGTTTTCTTCCAGGCTTCCCTTCTGTTTCCCAGAAGACGGGGCCCCTTCCTGCCTTGAAATCAGTGACTTTGACCTTCGGCCACAAGGACACTGCATGCTGGGCATCCTTTTTCGCTGCTCGCGCCCTCCAGGTTTTTTTTGTCCTTTCGTGGGGGTCCATGTGCTATTTCAGGTTGGCGCATCATTCTCATAGTTCTCACCCCGAATTCTCCCCGCGACATCCGAATCCGCTTTTTGGAAGGGGTTTGCTCGCTTTCTAGTCCATGGCGACAGGTGGCACAGTTTGCAGCCGAGAAGATGCCACGGACGGGTTGGAAGGGACCTGGCGCTGGGTACCCTTTGGATTGCCCTTCCTGGATGTTCAACCTATACTTAGCAAGTAGGTGAGAACCATGTGTATAAGTCAGCCAACCCTGTTGTCCCACTCCTAACTCCCTAGAACTTTGAAGTTGCTTCGGCATGCCACAGGAGCATCAGCCCATGTGCAGGGTTCCTGCTTTTGGAGAGACTCATGCAGATTGATTTCGGCTAGCGGCTAGCGATGCTAATCCTCGTACGGGGATATGCTAATCGTATAGGGCTGATCTCAAGGCTCATGGCCGGTCCTGTTTGCCCGTCGCAGAGTCACCATTTCGTTTTGTTTTTTTGCTGTTTCTTTTAGTGGGATGTAAAAAAACGAGAAATACTCGTCAGGAATTGGGCCACTTGACTGTGTTTTGATGAGGTGATGTTTGGGGGCCTATTGCCGGTGAAGGATAGTACTCAACTAGGGGTATATCACTCCTGGGTTCCTCTTATCACCGGTTTTCCAGACAGCACCCCTCTGTGCTTTCGTTTTTTGGGATGGGCTCCCTTTCTATAGCGTGAAAACAACGCAAAAAAATACGTCCCACGGCCTGGCTTCTGACCGGAGATGTTTTGCCGCAGGATCTTGGTGGACAAGCTCAAGGAGGGCTTGGATCCCGCCGAGGCGCTCAAGGCCGGGGCCGGTTTGAGGCGTTTTTGCCTTTTTGGCGGAAACGCAAAACACGAGAGATGCGTTTCAATGGGGGGGAGTCAAGAAGTCTAGATACCGTGTGTTGCTGGAGTCGTGAAGGGACGGTTTGAAGGGGGCCCCCACCCACCCATCCCTTTTTTCCACTGCGTGCTTGCGCGCGCCCACCCATGTTCGCGTGTGTCCAACCATGCGCGTGTGCGCCTGGCCAGCCATTGACATTCGTCCGTCCGTGGGCATGTTTCATCCATGCACGCGTGCAGCAATCCATCCTTTCTTCCATGCGTGCGTGCGTCCGCCCATCTAGCCATGCGTGAGTGCGTGCGTGCGTGCGTGTGTCATCTCTCCCTCCCTCCCTCCCTCCCTCCCTCCCTCCATCCATCCATCCATCCATCCATCCATCCATCCATCCATCCATCCATCCATCCATCCATCCATCCATCCATCCATCCATCCATCCATCCATCCATCCATCCATCCATCCATCCATCCATCCATCCATCCATCCATCCATCCATCCATCCATCCATCCATCCATCCATCCATCCATCCATCCATCCATCCATCCATCCATCCATCCATCCATCCATCCATCCATCCATCCATCCATCCATCCATCCATCCATCCATCCTCCTTCCTTCCTTCCTTCCTTTCTTCCTTCCATCCAGTTGTCTACAGTATCCATCCATCCGTCCATCCATCCGTCCATCCATCCGTCCATTTGTCCGTCCGTCTGTCCGTCCGTCCTCGGCAAGTCAACTTTTTGCAGCGGTCTAAGTTTGGCCCAGATAATATCAATAATCAATAACTATCTCACGTATTCTATATACATATGTATATCTACATCCACACTGCCTACGCAAGTTCATGAAAATCGGCTTCCCCCTTTCTCGTGATTCCATTGGTTGGGTCGGTGTTATGTCGGCCCCCCCTGCTTCTCTAGGAGTCCTTCGGGGCCATGGACGCGGAGCTGCGGTCGCTGGCGGCCACGGCGTTTCTGCGCCAGGGCTCCACCGCCGTGGCCACGCTGCGGCTCGGTGGGTTGTTTGGAGGTTTGTTGACCCCGGATTAATACACCCCTGTTCATTAATATGGGGCTCTCCCTGGTTTTAGTGGGGGTTCATCACTTTTATTCATATGGGGGTGGGGGCCCCTCCAAAAGTGATGAACCCCCACTAAAACCAGTGACACCCCCATATTAATAAACAGGGGTTTATTAATCCGGTGTCAACATTGTGAGGTTATATGATATGGGTTATGAGGGGGGCGAACCAGAGCGATCCACCTCAGTTGTAAGCATGGTTGTATACCTATTGCTGAAATCAAATACCCATGGAAAACGATGCACTCTGCCTCTTTCAGGCCCTTTACTTGTGTATTCAATTCTTATTTAAGGTTTTGGATTTGCCTTATGAATTGAAGGCGATGTTTGTGTGTCAGGCAGGATTTGTTTGGCCAGCGCCATCTCATTTGTATCTGGCCGATAGGGCCTTGAAATGTTTGTTTTGGGGCGGCCAAAGTTCGGCGGTCCCATTTGGATATGTGCCCAAGTAGGAGTGTTGGACCCCACCACAACGGGCTTCGGTCTTTCTCCGGGTCTCTCTGCAAGCCAACCTGAGCCCCCCATAGCTTTCAGCTCTTGGGAGAAAAAAAACACCCCCCCTTTGCCAAGTGGCAAGTGGTTGGCAAGTGGTTGGCAAGTGGTTGGAGGGTTTGGCCTTTGACGCAAAACCGCTGAGGTTGTTGCGGGAGGAGGACAACGTGCGGCTGCTCTGTGCCAATTGCGGCGACAGCCGGGCGGTGCTGTGCCGGGGCCGCGCTGCGCTGGCGCTGTCCAAGGCCCCGGGCTGGGGGCTGGGTGTTGGTGGGTGGGTGGGTGGGTGGGTGGGGTGGGTGGGTGGGTGGGTGGGTGGGTGGGTGGGTGGGCGGGTGGGTGGGCGGGTGGGTGGGTGGGTGGGTGGGTGGGTGGGGGTCTGAAAAGAAGAGCCAATTTGGCTGTCGGCCAGGTACTCCCCAAATGGAACCCTGGTAAATGGAACCAGCTACCCTTGGTGATTTGAATTTGAGCCATACCCACTTGGGCCATGTGAAGCATGATGCCTTTTTGTCCACAAGGGAAAAACTATCTTGGGGTATTCAGGTTGCGTCTCTTTTTGGACGATACCCTTTTGAAGGTCCAATTGGAGAGCCACCCCCTCTTCGGGATCGCTCAACAAAGAAGGCAAACTGGGGGATTCGGTGGCAGTGGTGAGGGTTGGCTCGGCTCAGCTAAGAAGTTTGCCGGTTGACTCAAAGAGGTTCAGCTAGGGTTTCGGCCATAGCCCATGTAGCTTTGAGCCATGTTGAGTTGGTGAAGAATTCGAACCCCGGCTGTGATTTGTTTTGTCCGAGTTTGCCGGGCCGCAGTTTGAAGCTCTGTGTTGGTGTTTTGCAGACTCGTCCGACCATACACCGCATAGCACAGGCTGGCCACCGCCAATCAAACATCGAGGAATCTGATGCAACACATATTGCCAAGCGACTAGCTTAGCGGATCCCAATCACCGAAGTTCTGCATGTTGCTTTGTTTCAAGGCGGCATCCCTACTCCCCCTCGAAAGTGCAGCCGGGATTCGTCAAGAGATTTAGCATTCCCTCCAAACAACTTGTGCATGCTTATGCTCCCTTTCTCGATAAACTTTGGTCCGGTTCGAAGTCATCCGTGGCCAGCCCGGTTGTTTGATGGGGCGCCACTTTGCAGTTTGTCCCCCCCCCCCCCGCAAACGGTCTGATAGGGTCTCAAGATCAGAACATCCCTTTGGCTTTGGTTCAAGCGAATCCCATGACGGGTTACTAGCAATTTAGCCAGTCCCTAGACCATCCAAGCAAGTTGTTCACTTCAATGCAACCAGCGTTTGGTGGGTCTGATGGATTCATCCAGCGAGGACCACAAGCCCAACGATCCAGAGGCAGGGAGGGTGGGACGGCGCACGGCGCAGGGCGTGTGGCATGTTTCTTCTCGAGATAGGACGCACAGAAATTCTGTGCAAACCATGAGGATTTGTTACAGACCCGCCCAACAACAACTGACCTTCAGTGTGTTTTCCTTCTGGAGCTCCTCTAAAAAGACGATATTGGCTTGTGTGATGGATGCAAGAGCAGCTCCATTGGCAAACTGGGCATGGGGCGAGATTTTTGTTTTCGCCAGGAGCGGCGCCGAATCGAGGCGGCAGGGGGCAAGGTAGAGCTGCATGGCCCCTGCTGGCGCATCGACGGGGGCTTGAACCTCTCGCGGGCTCTTGGGGACTTCCTCTACAAGGCCCTTTTGGTGGCGAGGTAGTTGACTTGCTTGTGCGATAAGTAGGGAATGAGGGAATGAATCCATGGGTCTCCTTAAAGGAAACCACAAGTGATGGTTTACAAGAATCATCCCCTCATTCCCTGCCCATCGCACCAAGTTGAAGCAGCCTTTCTGACTTCGTCTCAGCTGTGCTTCTGACTGTTTGGCTTGAGGTTTTGGGGGTCGAGTGCTTGAGGTGGCGCCACTTGGTGGGCGATGGCAACCTTGCAGCAACCACTTGGCTTTGGGTCCCTTCAAAAGACACACTGCCAAATGGAAGAGTCTGTCTGAGGGTGGTACATACTCTTTTGCGGATTCTAAAGGAAAACCAGAGGAACACCACCTATTTTTCGGTCCCCTAGGCCTCGTTCACCATCGCAGGCCCGGCGAGAGCTGCCGGCTGACCAGCAGAAGGCGACAGGGGTCTCGCAAACTTGCATAGAAGGTCATGAGAATAATGGGGCCCAGTTGATGAAAGGTTGGTGCTTTGCAAGTTTTGGGTAGACTTTGTGATATCATGTGGTCCTGGACTGGCCTTGGGTTGTTAGTTGAGGAATCTCTGGGGAGGAGCGTAGTGCAGGGAGGAATGCTAGAAAAAAGACATCACTCTTTTACTTTCAGGCCCAATCTCTATATATATATATATATGCTATATACATAGGGGAGTTGTCTTTTTGGCTTGGTTCGAAGGGGAGCCAAAAGCAAACCAAGCATGTCCGCCCTTTGACGCATCAGCCGCATCAGCCGCAGAGCTGGAGAGAGTAGTCTGGTTTCAACCGGCTGGATGCTGAGATTCCATGTCGAGTCAGTGGAGCTCATGCATTTTGTTGGATTGGAAGAGGCTCTTGGATTTGTGGAGGGATGGAATGTTGGGGAGTTTTTTTGTTTTCCCGCTTTTGGCTTCTTGGCTTCTTGGCTTTTTGGCTTCTTGGCTTTTGGCTTCTTGGCTTTTCGGCTTCTTGGCTTCTTGGCTTTTGGCTTCTCAGCTTCTGGGCTTTTCGGCTTCTTGGCTTTGGCCTCTCGCATCCTCTGCATTCCCAGTTCCTCTTCGGCAGGTGGCATTTTGGCTTTTGCGGCTTTTCGCTGGTTTATGCGGCTTTTGGCGGTCTGCTTTCCCAGTTCTGTCCGGGCTTTTTGGCTTTTGCACCCTTTCTTTTTGGATGTGGCTTCCCGCATCATCAGCATCACCAGTTCTATTTGAATCATCACTTCTTCGAACATCATGGGGGGGGAAGCCCCCCCGCAACCCACCCGCTACTGTTTAGATTGCTTGCAGAGTAATTGCACCCCTATTTGAATCAACACTTATTCAAACATCATGGGGGGGGGCTGCCGCCTCCCCCCCGCTACTTTTTGGATTTATCTTGCAGAGATTGAGTTGCACCCCTAGTTCAATCATCACTTTTCGAGCGTCCAATTTCGCGAGAAAATGCTGCAAAATACTACATTTTAGGTATTATGTGTAATCCATGTATGTCTGTATATATGTATGTACTTCTTCGAACATCATAGGGGAAGCCACCCCCGCCAACCCTCCCGCTGCCTTTTAAATTCTATCGTACCCTTTCTTGAATCATTGCACCCACCCCTACTTGAATCGTCACTTCTTCCGACATCATGGCGGGGGCTGCCGCCCCCCCCAACCCCCCCGCTACGTTTTAGATTTTCTACAGAGATTTCATTAATTGCACCCCTAGTTGAATCATCAATTCTTCGAACATCATGGGTGCCGCCCCCCCCCCCCCCCAACCCCCCCGCTACGTTTTAGACTTTTTGTAGAGATTTAATTGCACCCCTATTCAAAGGGGGGCTGCCGCCCCCCCCGACCCCCCCGCTACTTTTTTTTACAGGGATTGAGATGCCCTCCTGTTTGAATCATCATTTGTTTGACCCCGTCAACCGGCCAGCTACTTTTTTGATTTTGTTACCCACGATTTGTTGGTGATGCTAGGGATGTTGGTCGGACATGCGGGGGATGTTGAAAACGATGCTGGGATGTTGACCGGCAAAATGCATCAATTTCGCGAGACAATGCTGCAAACAAAAACATTTTACTGGCCCGGACGAAAAACGAGAAAGACAAAAAATCCTAAAAAGATCCGGAAAAAAAACACAAAAAACCCAAAATAAATCCGCACGCGAATGGAATGGATTTGTGGAATGGATTTGGTTTTGTTTTGGAGTGGAATGGATTTTTTCTTTGTTCGTGAACACAGCGCCTGAAGGTTGATGTGCTGTCGCGAGAGCTTTATTTTGGGCTTCCCGGTAGGGACGTCTCAGGCAGTTGGCATTTTCAGCTAGTTGCGACCCGTGCTCCAGAGGATGGCCGGAGCACGGAGGCGCACAGATGCTCTGCGCCTGTCTCTTCACTGTTCTATTTTTTGATTCGCAACATATGGGTGTTGCCAAAGACAGGGGGTTCCCTTTCAACACGTCTGAAGTTTTGTGCAACCCATATTTCTGGAAACACTCCTGCTTGGTTCTGCGGCTCGCAGCTGCCGGGCTTTGGTGGCCTGTCGCGAGCTGCCTGGCACTTGACGGATTGCACAATGAAACCTCAACAGGAAACGGCTGGGGGAACATCCTCGGATTTCAAGCAGTCTTGGTGCTTCCGAATTTGGTGTGGCTTCCCTTCAGCCCCCCAAAGCATACCACGCCCAAAGTGGCGGAAGGTGTCATCAACTCCGAGGATCGCAGGACCCCCAGCTGTGAGGTGATCAGCGACCCAGAGGTCGAGGAGGTGGTGCTGAACGACACGGACCGCTTCCTCGTCATGGCCAGCGACGGGGTTTTCGAGGTGGGGACGGGGGTTCGGGGAAGCATTGGGGGTCATGAGTCCAAGTGAAACATAGATGGTGCGAGGTTCGGTCACCATTTCGAGGCTTTGGTCCATTTGAAGGGACAAGGGGAACTCACGACATGTCCTAAGCCTACAAAACCGGGGGCATCTATTTTCTTTTGTTTTGGTAGAGCAAGTAAATTTGACCGTGGCTCCTTTGGCATGGGTATTCTGATCTATGAAATCGGCATCCAGGAATTTGAACTCACCTTGGTGCCCTTTGTTTGGGCGGTCGGCCCCGAATGATTTGCCCTTGGGCGTCCGTCAGAGGTTCTATCCGTTCCAAGGGCATCTTTGGGCGTATCCCCCGGGAATTGGGGTGAACGCTGCTTGGACCTTTTACCACAGCGTCGAAGAGGTAGCCCCAACAGGGTTATCCTTATTGAACTACCTTCGTGGGAAACATGACCCTCCATAAATGGTGCAGGATCCTTTGAGTTCCGCCAATCTTTTCTTCCAGAAAGGTGGCACACTGACAACCTTGGACCCATATGAGGGTTGGGCCAACATTTCCAGTAGTTTATGGTCGTTTTGGAGGACATGAGTCTCGACCCCTGTTGACCGTGGCTCACCTAGACCCCGCCTCCTGCCCGGTGTTTTGGCCAGATCTTCAACTCCGATGAGCTGGTGGAGGAGGGGAGAGATACGGCGGTTCTCCCATCTGGGCCTAAGACGTCCCAGGTCTTGATGCGTTCCAAGGCCGCCATTTCTCCACAGCGACAGTCTATGTTGCAGCGCCAGCGCAGAACCAAACAAGCAAGGGGAGCAGCAAGCCATTCAGGTGCGCGCGACTCGAGGAAGCCTGTGTATATCAGTCAGAGGAAGTTGTATCAAAGGCAACAAGAGCCGGGGAAATCTTTATGTATCATCAAGGGGACGGGGATGGCATGGCAAATCACCGGTAACTCGGCATGACCGTAGCCAAGTGCAACAATGACCTCGGCTCACAGGTATGTGCCCTGATATGGAAGGCCACATCTATGTGGCAGGCATGTTTACACACACACACACACCCAAGCAGGATGAGGTGGGCTCCTCGTACATGAGTCGTACTCAGCTTTCAGGAAGTTTGTCAGTTAGCAGAAGGGAGTTTCATTCAGACGGTACCCCGGGGAGTATGTTGCCATAAAGCTTCAAACAACAACGGCCTGCTTGGATCGTCCGGTCGTTACAGTTTGCATATACGATGGGTCCATTTAAGTCGATTTCAGCCAGCTCAACCCCATGAATCAGAGTAGCCTCACTTTCATGAACTTGAATGAGGCTTCCTTTATGAGCCGCTGATTCCCATTGAAGGCTGCTGTGATTGAAAGGAGGCGTTTTGTCGGCTTCCGTTTGGGTGGCGTTGCTAGCCCAAGGCGTTGCTGCTGTGTCTTATCGAAAGGCCCAACAGAAACACATGGAGCATGGACCATGCAGCTATTTGCAAGCATGTTTTGGATATGGAAAGCTGAGGGGTGTCTCCCAAGAAAGGACCATGCAAGCAGGTGTCCTGTTTGCGTCCTTGTAAAAAGATGTGCAACAAATCTCTTTCCTTTCAAAACCATCACTTTCTTGAGGGTTCCATTTTTCTATTTTGCCAACCCCACGCAACTTCGTCTGTAAAGGCCACCCTGCCGACCAGACCCCCCAGCCCCCACCTGCCGGATCGACCATGGATCGACCGGAGGAGTTGCTCAGGGAGAAGCGGCGCCTCAGCTCTTGGCAGAGCGCCATCGACAGCGTCCTCAAGCCGAAGCCTCGATTCCCTCGGAGTCGGATGTCGAATCGAGTCGCGGAGTCGCTCGCCACGAGCCGCTGAACGTCGGAGTCGGATTCGCCTCCGTTTTGGCCAGACACATGAGCCGCATAGCCGGGAAGCCGGAGCCACGAAGGGAGGGGGGGAATTAGGCAGTTCCTTTCAATTGGGAACGTGGAAGCCAGTGGAATCAAGTGATACAAGTATCATAGAATGAGCAACCGAGTGAAGTTGGTTCATGTGCCTCGTGCCCCGTCAATGTCTTAATTGTTTGCTTTGGGCTTTTGGCGATGGCTCAATCAGGTTGGTGCTTAGAACTCGCCCAGAACTGGTGCGGTTGTTCGCCAATTCCTTGGGCTGAGGGGAGCCTTTCGGTTGGGCTGCGTCAGTAGACATGCTTCGGCAAGTTTTCTGCTCCCGGACAAAAATGGTGGTAGGTGCCCCTTGTGGCAATGCCTGCCAACAGGCTCTGGAGTTGCTTTTGAGAATCCCAAACCTGGGCAAGCCGTGGCAAGTATTTTCCGTTTCATTTGAAGGGACACCGCAAAAAATCCTCATCACTTGGGAGTCCCTGCCAGGTTTTCCAGGCAGAATGCACCCTCTGGGTCGACCCCGGGTCTCATCCCTAGTGGCCTGTGACTGTTTGTGAATGCATTCTTTGTTGATTTTCGCATAGTTGAGGGTTTACCCCTAGACGAACAGACACACTTCTGGTCTCAAGTTCAACTTCAGGAAGTCTTGGAGCAGCGGGGACAACGTGAGCATTTGCCGGGCGCCCAGCTTCTGGCGGCCCACGCTTTTGGCGCCCGTTGGGGGAACCCTGTGTCATTCTGCGTCTTTGACGGACCGGTTGGATTCGGATCTGAGGCAATTTAGCCTTTGCAAGTTCATGTTTGGCAATTCATGCTTTGTTTCCTTCAGTTGAACATTGAGAGCGCAGAAGAAAGTGTTGGAAGACTGCATAGCACGCAAACCTGAAGAATGTCAGTGGTCTGACCGGGGAACTCTGATATTTGGTTTTCCCATGGCCAAGAGAACCGGTTCAATCCACTCAGTTGACCTTATGGACCGACCAGTGCGCCTTTGTTACAAGCCCTGCATTTGTTTTTTGCTCGAGGCTTGGTGGAGTTTCTGAACATGGCACGGGGCATCTGAGCGAATGGACCGCGAGGGAAGAGCATCCGCAGGGTTCATATCTGTTTGCTTGGTTGGCGGGTACCCTTTTCAGAGGCACCCCAGCCAACAATTGGGGGTCGCCCTAGGCACCTGACCGGTTGTGGAAAGGTGCGTGCCACTTTTTGTAGGCAATTCCCTTCGACATACGAGTACTTCTCACTCAGTTGTCCAATGACCCCCTCTTGTGCTTTTGTTGGGTGAGTTCCTCTTCGAATCAACAGAGAATGATGTTATAGCGATAGTTACTCGGCAAGTAAGACAAAGATGAGGCGAGCTAGGCAATGCCATTGGATGAGCCATTCTTGCTCCAGGCATTGTTTTTACTTGTGCATTGTAGAGAAAGAAAGAGCCATAAGGGAGCGTCACAAAGAGACGGTTGAAATGCCATGCATGATGATATATATATATATACGAGTAGTATATACACGTAAATACATGGACATATGTATAATATATATGTATATATGTTATACATACTTGATGCACACAAGCAATTTTGCCCCAGCCGACCCCTATCAGCGGTCCGCTCTTCGCTCTCTCGTTTCCTGCGAGTGGGTGCGGATTCTGCGCGCGGTCTCCCTGCACATGACATCGCTCATAGGGAAGATCACGGACAAACATATGGGTCCTTTGCAAAATGGGTATCGGCACCAACTGAAAGGGTGTCCATTTTGAGAAACCTCCATGTCAAGCGCGGTGCCTTTGGGATGATTCAAAAGTCTAATCCACCTTTGGAAGGCATCACCCGTGCCAGTTGTTCCAGGCGCCTGTGCCAAGGGTTGCCAGGGGTGTCAAGCGCCTAGGACTCAAACATGGGATTGAGGATACGCCTCCTTGGTTTGCATCCATGACGCCCGCGCTGTGCAGAGTGAAGGGTGGGTTCTAGCGAACAGACCGCAACATGTGGCGGGAGGTGGGGGATTCTGGCCGCTCGGAGACAATGCCCACCCTTCCGACCGCGCGCGGTTCCCGCGCGGGAAGCGAGGGCGTGAAGCAGTCGCTGGCTTCACCGTGCTTGTTGATATTCTTTTAAGACTGGGGTGTTCGGTGTCCAGGTCGGCCTGGAGTTAGAATTCTGAGTCCGGGGAGATCTCTACCTCTAGCAGGTCTGTCTTGCAGAGCCGCGTTGGCAAACGATGTAGCTTCACAGCTTCGGATATCATTCCCAGGAAAAAGGAAAAGCTATTTGCCCAAGCCAAGCGGTTTTGAGGAGATGCAGGGAAGTATAAACATATTATTGGACAAACTTGACGGAGGTTTGAGGAGCTCTTGTCGAGGCATGTTATGCCATTCATGTTTACCTCAAGCAGAATTGACCATGGTACAGCCCAACCGCTGGATAAGAATCCGTGAGGATTTGGCCAGTGTCACTCGCATTCTTAGATGTGGATGTGGCTTTTGCGCAGACACCCTCAATGTCCAACTGGTTGTTCTTGATTACATATTTATCGCAGTGGGCAGTGGTGGAGCTTGGAGGGAAGCCTCACATGTTGATGCCTCACATGTGGCTGCTTGCTGGTTGTGTTTGTATTCTAAAGTGCCGTCCCTTTTGATTTGTCAGCATACGGGAACCCCCAAAATATAAGCCACCCCAACAAAGGGGGCCCTCAAAACACACACACACACACACGTGGCGGTTGCTCCAGGTAGCTTGTGGCAAGGTTAGTTTCAGCTTTCATGCCCTTGCTACTGTGCAACCCTGGACAACACTAGAGTCAAGTTGGTCAAAGGAGAGTGTTTTTCGCTAAGGAGCATGTCGGAAATCCGGATCTCGACTCCGATGATGTCAATGTTCAGTACACATTGCCATGTGCTTGTTGAACCGGCGGTTGGAAGCAATTGACGCCCACGGACTCTTTGCTGACATGAAGCCCACATTTTTCTTGTGGCTAGCCCCAGGCCGTTCCTGACATGACTCCATCGTTTTTAGCACGAGCCCGTGACCGTGGATTCGCCCGAAGAGTTTGCGGAGGAACTCAATGGACTGGGTGTGAAAACACCCTTGATTTGTGGTTTCCCTGGAAGGAAGCCATAAATGGTTGCAGACATTTGATTTTTCACCCAGCCCCAGTCTGAACTCTGAACGCTTGTTAAACCTGTGGGAGACAACCCTCCCAAACCTACTTTTCTCTTGAAGGGCATCTGGTAGATCCCAGGGACAGCGAATCCCATGGCACAAGTCACATGTCCTCATCGCACAAAACCGCCGTTTAGGCAGCCCCTTTTAGAGGCATGGCCGGGCGGCTTTCCAGGGGCAAAGATCCATGGAGTGAGCACACCGGCTGGGATCCCTCGCCCTCCATGAAGTCCACGGAAGGGCAAGTTCTCCATGCGGCCAGACTCCAAAGAGGAGTCTTCATGTTTCGTGCGTGGAGATCTGTTGTTTCTTCAAGGCCCTTTGAAGGTCACAGGCTCTTCGGGCACGGCTCAGCCGTGCGACCAGCCACGGCTCTTTGAGGAGCCCTCAAATTAGCATCGGCTTCTGGAGCCGCACTCTTCTCACTGACCGGTTTCTGGCGTAAAACTGCTCGCGCCTCTAGGGGCCTAGGCGCTGTTCGCGGCGACTGTCAGAGGCTTGACGAGATGGGGCTGGCTTGCTGCCTCCCCAAAGGATCAAGCAGATTGGTAAATTCTCTGGTGATTCACCTCGCAAGCTTGCCACGAGGGGATCATACAAGTCAAGTGGTTTGAAGGTTGTGCAAGTTTGCGCTTGCCTCATGTGCCCTTATTGGGTGAGTTCAATCTCAGAAAAGCGCTCGTACACGGCCGAACTCCGATGTTTGCCAACGGGCTTTCCGGGATCATCCGGCTTGATAGTTTGCCATGCTAGGAATCCTCCCGATGGATTGATTCATGTCGTTGCCGCTGCAAGCTTTAAGCCGTTCCCGCAAGGGCTCTCAGTTTTGACAATCATTTTTGCCACCAGCGACTGCCAATAGGGGCTGAAGAACCTTCATTATTTCTCACCATCTTTGTAGAACCACAATCACTGCGTTGCGGCACTCAGATGGGGAATGGGAAATTGGGGAGTCTCTTTGCGGCCAAGGGTTCAGGCTCTGGACAGAGAAGCTTTGCCCTTGCATCACGTGGCTTTGTCCCAAAGAGGTCCACAAACGGGTGGGTTCCCCTGAGTTTCCTGAAAAGAACCCGAAGAAGGACAGAGACACAGATATCATATATATCTTTCTGGTGCAAAGCATCTCACTTCAGCCACGCCTGGATCGTTGTAAGGCATGGTCGGAAGGTTTCTTGCGGTTGCCGAGCAGCGTTTCATGGGATAGGCAGCGCTTCGTTGGCGCATGGCCAGGTTTGGTTCCTTTGGGGGCTCACTTTGAAGGCACACTGCGCAAAACGGAATCCCTGTTCTTGGCAGCTGAGGCCCGAGTAGGGGTGCTTCCTTGAAATGAGGGATCCAGCACAAATCGAGATCTCCTAGTATCCTAGTTCCTGAATTTGGGGCCTTTCGACACAACGCCGAAACCGCCGGAATCTCACTGGGCAAAGTGATCAGGGCGACACCTTGAATTCCATTGCTTCAGGACTCAGTCCGGTTTAGGGCAGGATTGTGAAACAGTTGAAGGCGCTGTCACTTTGATGTTGCCATTTTTCTTTCCCAAACAGGGCTTCCAAGTTTGCCCTGCTTTTTGAAAGTTGGACTCTCTTGGTGCACTAGACTCTTGGTTTGGGGGTCTAACTCACCCGCCTCTGCACAGAAGCTACAGGGCTCAGAGACCGACAGACCGACAGACGGCTACCGCCAGGCACGAGGTCTCGGCGGTGCTGGCAGGGTCCGGAAACCCACCCTCGAGTGGCAGCGGTGTATGTTGAGGGATTTCTGGCACATCCCGCTAAGCAATAAACGCGCCACTAAGGTTTTGCTGGCTGATTTCGATTCCGTAGAGAGGGCGATCGGGTACGTCAGGTACGCGGTTAGTGGTTCTCCCGAAGTGGGTTGTAACCCTTAAAGCATGCGAACTCAGACTCACCGGGGGCTTTGGACATTTTGGGGACGAGGGCCTTGCGTGGTTGTCGGGCCTTGTTTTCGAGTAGGAACTGGTTGAAAAGTTAGCTTTGTCAGTCGGATTAGCTGGCTTCTCACAACCGCCTCGCCGTATTTGGCCCAGCCTATTCTCAAGCTCGCTCCCGTCGTCTGCTCATCGCCTCACCATTGTCAGAATGGTTTCCATGGCCAAGCTGCTCGCTTTCGCCTCTCCTGTCTGGGCGATCCGCGAGAATCAGCAGTTCTTGCTGCAGCCGAGCGCCACGGCGGACACCAGCTGCGCGAGCCACGTCAAGGCCACCTTGGCGAACCTCGGCGAAGTGACGGACATCGGTCAGCGCATCGGCGCAGTGCTTGGGGCGCAGGAGAGGTCCGAGAAAGAGGGGAGGACTTTGCACCGTCTTCTGGGGAATGGCGCATTGCGTTTTAAAGGCCTCAGGTTTTGTTTTTGGCATGGACTGGAACATCTGAGAAGTGCCTTGATCGCATGGGTCAGGAGTACCTGAACGATTGCTGCGTGGAGGGCACCGAGTTCGACACCTTTGTGCAGGCAAAGGCCTCGGCGGAAGTGAGCCTCGACTCGCTCTTCGACGCGCAGACGGCTTTGGTGGTCATCGACATGCAGAAGGACTTCACCTCGGGGAGCTTCGCCCAGCCATGCTGGAGGAGCAAGTCGCTTTTGAAAGGGCACGCTTGCCACGTGAAGACATTGGGCTAGCTTTCCGCTTGACTTCTTTGTAGATGTTTCTTGCTCTCATACAATCTGGAACCCATAGGGCATCCCCCAAAAGGAGTTTCCGGAAACTCCTCTTACTATGGCTTTCAGGATTCCATGTTCATGTGCAGATGAGTGCCCCTTGGCTCCTAGTTACCACTCTACTTCACCAGTGGGGTTTTTCAAGTTTCGCTCTGGCTTCACCCAGGAACTTTTAGTGGTTTCCCTGCAATGAGGGTTGTTCACCAAGGAACTCCGTGGTTTCCGCTGGAATCCGGAGATTTCACCAGAGGTTTGGTTTTTCAAGCTCTGGCTCCACCCAGGCAACTCAGTGGTTTGCCAGTACTCCAGAGGTTTTTTACCCAGGAACTCAGTGGTTTCCCTGGAATCCGGAGGTTTTTTTGCTGGGATAAATCGCAGGAAGATCGCGGGGCGCGTGAACAGCAAGATGGTGGAGGCCATCGAGAAGGCAGCGGCCGCTGGGTCGATGATCATCGCCTCCAAGGATTTTCACCCCTCGCGGCACTGCAGCTTCGGCGGCGAGGCGCGCGAAACAGGGGGG